AATATGTGTGTCAGCGCATTTGTATTCGGATCGACATTTGTATAAACTATGTAGTTTCTGTTGTTTGCCAAATGTAGAAGTTGGGTAGGAACGTCCCTACCCTCAAAACTTTCCTTATGCAACCAGTCTCTATAGTTATATACATGTCGCCGATTAGCATGGTCGTGTGGATTTTTTTTCTGGACGGCGGCCAAAATATTTGCTGGTGTCACATGCGCAGCAGTCATTTCACGAATAATGTTTTTGGATGACACGCTTATGCCGCTCGACTGTCGATGGCCCTCAGGATACACGGCAAATGAATGATTATGGTATCACTTCGTTTCGTCTTGACTCGTTTGGATCATCCAGTATGTCGATCTGGCAACACGCTTTACTTGTATCTCAAAAGGGCACTGGCACGCTTTCGTTTTTGAACGTCTCGAAACAGCTTTATTCATATCTACGTTCTTGCCTCTATAACGTTCGCCTCGATCGCACTTCAAGATCTTCAGTCTTCCGGGTTTTTTGTGTTTCGAAATAGTCAAAAAGAAACCATTCAGAATTGCCGTATTTTTTGCATCCTTAATAGCCTCCTCATCACTAATAAACAGTGTATTTGTATCGAAAGCGGAACGGTAATCAATACCGTCTCCTCCAAAATCTTCTAAAGACACCTGCAAAGTAACACATATTTAATAATGTTAAAGCATACTTATAATATAAATAATTAATTGAAAGATGTAACGTACTAATTTTTTTTTTAATTAACGTTCACTTTATATATAATTAATCTTCAAATTTTATTACTATAATAGTTTTCTTTTATATTATAATAATAATAATAATTATTATTATTATGAAAATATTTTTGTTTTTAATATTAAAATAAATATATTACAATAACAATTATTAATATTATTATGCTAAAATTTTTGTTTTTAATATTAAAATAAATTTATTATAATATTTTTTACTTGATTATTGTCATTTATTTCCTTTTATATTATTATTATTATTATTAGAATTTTTTATATAAATATTATTATTATTAGAATTTTGTTATATTATAATAATTATGAATCTTTTTTTATATAAATATTATTATTATTAGAATTCATTTTTTATTATAATAATTATAATAAAATAAGAATTCTTATTATTAGAATTCTTTTAAATTCTTATAATAATTTTTATAAAAATAATAATAATAATAATAATAATAATAATAATTATAATATTTAAACTAAATAATAATACATAATAATAATAAATTAAAAAAAAAGGTGTCCGACCGGTCGGACCGGCCGGACCGTATACCGACCGGCCGTCTCGGCCGAACACATATAGGTCCGTACGTCCGGTCCGTCCGGACCAAAAAACCAGACATTAGTGTAAATGTCCGGCCGGTCCGGCCGGACGCCAATTAGGCCGTCCGGTTCCGGCGGCCGGACATACAGTAAAAAAAAAAAAATTACCTCTGAATCAGACGACATTTTGGGCGGAAGAAAAAAATGCGGAGGGTAAAATTGTCCAAGGGGGGCGGTGACTAGTAATAAGGGGGGCGGTAATTAGTAATGCCCTTTCACTACTCAATTAAATAGAGCTTTTGCATTATATTTTAAAAATTTATAAAACATCTCGTGTGTGATTTTTATTTCAATTTGCGAGTTTCAAATATAATAGTATTGTTTGTGTTACACAATAATGTGTTTTGTTTACAACTAGAATCTATAAACTGACTGCAATATGAACTAAAACAAAATAAAAAAATACAACTCGAATGCGGACAAATTAAAGTCGAGGCGATTGAAATCTTTCTGCAAGACAATTACACCCCGTATAATACTGACGGGTCTGTACGTAATGTCCCCAAAGATACAACGGCAATACACTCGGAAGCTGTAGCACACCAATCTTCAGAGTTTCAGCGAACGGGAATGAAGACGAAAACTGAGCACTATGATATGATGCATGAGGCTTTTATATTATTCATAAAACATGCAAAGTTATGTGTTCTTTTCTCTGCAGCTCTAAGTCCTATTTATAAGACTTCCACATCTTGATGAAAACCAACAGTCACATCTGCCACTTAAGGTAGAGATAATGAGCCAAAAAGATTTATGGCGTTAAAACACCATTAAGAAGGAGTTAACACCTACTAACCAGGAATTAACACCATTAACACACTCCACCTGAACTGTTGCATTTCTCATGAAAAGTCAGGTGACCAAATTCATTGTACATGGAGAGGTCTCACTCGGGTTGGGTCAAAACTCGAGTCCAAGTCCAAGTCCAACTTGATTTGGATTTTTTTAGTTGGGCCTAAAGTTGCAAATAAATTTGCAGCAAAAAGATATATATATCATTTGGGCCCAAATCCAACCGCCCAAGGCTGCCCAAAGTCCAATTGCCAAGAACCAAGTCCCAGGCCCGAGCCTGAGCCCGAGCCGGCGGGCGAGCGCGCGCGCGCATGTGGCCGAAAACAACACCAACACTTGGTGCATAACTTTGTGTTTGTTGTAACCTCTCCAACTCTCATTAGTATAATAAAGAGAGTTAATATCAATTAAGAGTCCAATGTGGGAATGACTCTTGACCCTTCAAATCACACAACCAATGTTTTACGTGTCATTTAATGACTAACTTTAACAATTTATTTTTCTCACTCACCGAAATTCAGTTTTGAGAAAATAAATATACCACGAGTATCTACTCGGAACATAGAATTTTTCTACAATATTTAATTTAACTCGAATTAAACATTTAGCCATAAAAAATTTAGTCAAAATTGGGTCAAATCCAAGTTTTATAACTGATTTTTCCAACAGTTTGTTGATATGTTAGTGTATTTGAAATATAGCTTAGCATAAATGAAAAGAAGAAAAAAAAAAAACATGTATTTTAAAAGCATCTGTACAAAGGCATGGGTATATACTATAAAAATTTTTGTTTTCGGGAGAGCCAGAGTTAGTTAAACGAAACTAGCCGCTCGTAAGCTTAGTTGCTTCGGTTCGTTAAAAATCGAGCTCGGCTCGAATCGTGTGTGATAAATGAGTCGAACTTGAACTCGCTTAAACCTCATTTTGTTAATAAGTTGGGTTTGGCTCGACTTGATAAGGTTTGTTGAGGCTCGAAAAGATAATTTTTATATAATTTTTTATAATCTTACTTGAAAATAATTTGTGTATAGTTCAATTTGTTATTCGAAAATAATGCTAGTAATACCAATGTTAAAAAATGACCATAATTTGTGTTGCATAATTTTGTGTCTAAAAATGCTAGTAATAACAATGGCTTTGCTATGAAGACAACAGTTGGCTCCATAGTGGAGCCAACCTTCTATATACAACAAATAAACCTACTATATTCTCTGATTACTTAAATAACATTAATATAATTTTATTAATATAGTAGGTTTATTTATCGTATATAAAATGTTGGCTGCACTATAGAGCCAACTGTTAACTTCATAACAAAACCTGTAATAACAAATATCTATTTCGTATGCATTGCTTGACGTTTGGTTCAACTCTTTTATGTGGCTTTACTTTCCTTGCTCGCAAAATATGGTTTAGGCCCTCTGTTTATTTAATTGGATTATTTATCCCCTGCCCGGTTTTTATTTTATTATTTGTGCCCCACTCCTTCATAACTCAATTTTCCTTTTTTTTTTTTGTGTTTTCTTTTCTTCTTCTTCTTTGGGCTGCATATGTAATTATTTCTTTAGGTAGACGAATATATTGGTATGTGCGGGGATAGCACTTCAAAATCATCATTTTGAGAAAGTTTTGTAATAATAATTAAAAAAAAAAAAGAATTTAGGTCTCCAAATTTTTTAAACTTGTTTTCTGAGAAACAAAATTTAGAATTAGGACAAAAAAAAAAAATATATTGTTGAAAATTTAAATGTTGGCCTTTCAACCAAAGACAATCACTAATGAGGGAATTCAATTTCGATCCCCACTTTCCCGTAAACCTAATTTCCCGTTTATCTCTTTCGATCTTCTTCCTATGAGTGCGCCTTCCACAGTCGAGCGTTGGGTCAAGCGTTGGTGGTCGGCTCTGGCCGGTGCGGTCTTGCCCGTGGTGTGCATTGATGTTGTCGTTGCGGGAAGGGAGGTGGATGACAACCAAACAGACTCACGCGGGTTTTGGTGCCATTCTGGGGTGGTGTTCTCGGCCTCTGGGTGTCGCGGGGGTGGTGTGGATATGTTTTTCAAGGATGGTTGCGACTCTGGCTGCCCGTCGAGTGGCTGGAGTGTCGGTTCGGCGGGTTGTCCTTCTCGGGCCTCTTTTCCCTTGGTGCTGGGGTTACGGGGCGGCGTCTCTGATCTCGAACAGTGGTGGACTCGAATTTTGTTTTCGCAGGTGAGGGTCCAGTTAGACTTTAGACAGTTTTTGCTGCGATTTCTCAAGGCGTGGTCCGATCCAGTGGGGTGGTCGACTATGTGGCCGCCGACGTGCTTCTTGGTGTCTTTCGGTTGTAGATGGGCTATCTCTTGATTAGTTTCGTTAGGTTTGGTAGTGTTCGAGTTAGGTGTGTTCGTTAGTGTCTTTGTTCTTGGTGTTGTGTTTTTATTGTTTGTGTCTTTTGGTTTTGGTTTTCTCCCAAGTTGGACCTATGCATTATTCCGGTAGGATCAACGATTCTCCATTTTTTAGAGCTTATAGTTTTATTTAGTGTCTTGTGGGTGTATTTCTAGTGTTGCTAGTTTAGGTTCTAGGCGATCTTCAGATCTGTCCTCTCAATTTTTCAGCTTTTGGTTGATTCATTCAACTGTAGGGTTGTATCTTTGTTTCACTTTTCTACGTTTTTTTTTTATATAAAATCTTTATCGTTTCAGAAAAAAAAAATACATGGTGTTAGATAAATTAGATATGCTGAATCAAAATCCAAAGAAAATACACCTTACAGGCGTCGTTTACTTTACGTGAATGGGACTGGATAACGAAAACCGTCACCTCTTGTACAGTATTCACTCTCCTGGATTGGGATTCGATTGATCCCACTTGGTGCACATGTGGACTGCGAGCCCCACTGCTTATCAAATATTGGACGATTAAATTAGTTCTGTCCCCATCTGAGATTTTTTTTATCTCAATCCTTCCTTTACATATTTGCGGGCCTCACTGTTTCAGACAATCCCATCATACAAAGTAAACGTGGAACAAATTGTTGACGTGTAAAGTATTCTTTAAGGCTATGTTTGGTAAAAGTAGTTGATAAGCTACCTTATAGTTATAACTTATCAATAATTTTTGAGCTTTTAGCTTATGATTTATATTTGAAAAGCTTGCTTATATGATAAAAGTGTTTGGTAAAATTAGCTGATAAGCTACCTGGAGTAAAATATTCAACTAGCTTATTGAAAAGTTACTTAAAGAAGCTTATCAAATAGAAAAATGATACATAGACAACCTAGTTTACAACTAGGTTGATAACACAAGTGGAAACATCCATTTGTGTGTTTTTATTTTTTTTATTTTTTGTATGTTTTTTACTTGTGTTGTCATCCTAGTTGTACACTAGGTTGGCAATGTAGCATTACTCTATCAAATAAGTTCGAGCTTTTTAAAAAATATCGTCTTGCCAAACGAGGCTTGTTTGAATACAGAGAGCTTATAAGCTAATTTGTCTACCAAACATAACCTAATTTGTCTACTCTCATCACACGAAGTAATCGACCCCATAATAAATTATTATCTGACAACTTATTTTACAACCAAACTGTAATCAGTGTTATATTATTATCGGAAAATGCTATAAGTACATAATAAATGTACATACATGTGTACATAACACTCACATGGAGTGGAGTCCACTTAATTTTTATTTTTATTTTCGGTTGGTCTCACTCAATGTGAGTGTTATGTACATCTTTATGTACAATATTACGTACTTATAACATTGCTCGTTGTTATCAAGCATATCTAGGAGAGTAATGCTACAAGTATATAATAGTGTACATAAGGGTGTACATAATACTCACATTGAGTGAGACCCACCAAAAATAAAAAATCAAGTAGACCTCATACCATGTGAGAGTTATGTACACCTCTATGTACATTTATTATGTACACGTAGTATTTTCCATCTAGGAAACCAACCCAACCGACCCCAAAGATATATAAATTCAAATTAAAGCATTGGTTTTGAAAAATACCAAATAGCCCCTATATTATCGGAGGTAACGGTGTGCACACTGGAGTCAGAGTCAACTCTCAACTCAAAGTAGCTGATATTCTGATCTAAGCAAAACAAAACGCAGCAAATCTCGAGAGGACAAAATCGTCATTTCAGCTTTCATCACTTTCCTCCTCTTGTTGCTGTCTTTCCAGACGGACGATATATAGATTAGATA